CAGCCAGTTCTTGGGCGACCCTTTTAACATGGGAAAAACAAACTCTTCACCTTCGAATTACCAACCCCCAAGGCGAAAACCGAATCTTTTGAGATCAGTCGCCCCCTAACTCCTGTTGAGCAACTAGTTGCTGCCGATGAAGCGCTCTCCATACCGTTGGACTATAATGCTTGGCTAGGTGCCATAAAACCAGCAGATCATGACCTCAGGGATCTACTCCTATCTCATGCAAAGACCTATGCCCTCGCTAGTTGCAAAGGTATCGAAGGGCTGAAGCGGTTGGCACTTGATCGCACACTCAAAACACTTACAGCATTCGGTACTATTGAAAGTGGATCTCGGGAGGTTACTTATATCACTGAACTTCTCAAGTATGTGTATGAAAACACGACCTCACTACCTTCCGGCCGTGAGCCGATGCGCAAGCTTGTTGTTAGGTTTACTGCTTTGAATCTTACGGTTTTAAACGCCGACAACAAGATAACGTGTTTGATGAGTTCAAGTGCCGAACTTGCCGGAGATCTCATGTCTGATGTGACTAGAAGAGTGCAAGCTCTCGAGATTGGAGATTCTATCAAGGTTAAGCGGTATATATCCGATTTAGAGGTTTGTGCTCTGTCTGTATATGACCTGAGAGTAGTTGTGGCTTGAATCTCATAGGACATTTCTTTGATTCCATTACTGATGTGGCAAAAAGGTACGCATCGGCGGGGAAGAACCGTGTAATTGCATCCAAGAGTACAATTGGGGAGACCCTAACCTCAATTCCGGGATTCTACTTCCGTAAGCCTCCTACCTAGCTCTCCCTTGTTACTCATACCTCAAAGGGGGTACCCAAACACAGGGATTAGAAAGATATATGGCCAATCATCCCTCTTCATTTCTGCATGCAAACAAAGTTATACCCTCAATGCTGGGGCACCTCTTTCCTGCGGCGGGTGTGCAGAATCTAAGCGAGTTCGTCAGCACTAACCTTGGGAAAAATAGTCCTGTTTGGCTTGTACCGAAGTATACAGAAGTCGAAGCGCAAGCTTGTACCACTTTTAAAAAGAGTACTGTGCTCTCTTCAGGGTATATCCACGACAAGAGCGAGGTGGCTCCGTTTCCGAAGGCGAAGGGAATTATTATTCCATGCAAGGACGGGGGTCCTCTGGGGATCCGACATGTCCAGTTGCTCCGTTCTTCGACCCCTATCACATCTCTGGTTATGGGACAGCAGGTGGGTAAGACTGGGGTTCTGGAGTGTATTAACCACCATTCACCACCCAGTACTGCCGGGGCATCGTATAAGTTCCTCCACCTCATGTGGAAGTACTGATTTCTCGCTTTGTAAGGTAGACTTCCTCCCCTCAGCCATTCTAAATTTCAGGTATTGCGGCGCTGAACTAGATTTCTTACCTTTTAGGAGCCTGCTGGTGGGCTCGTCTCATAACTGTCCAGGCTTAATAAAGAAACATGAATTCTCGGGATGGAAGGGTGAAAATTTATGATTAGGGGTTATGGAAAATTATGTTTAAGGGTTATGGAAACTTATGAATGCCCAGGAAATGATGATCTCAAACTCCATTACCACCAGGCGTGATGTTGATCCTATCCTATCAGTGTCTATTATATTAGTATTGCAATTTTTCCAATGTTGTGATCCGAATTCAGACTGTGATGTCATCGTTTGAGTCTTGTACCGACTTCCAATGGGGCATGTGACTATGTGGTATACCATTAGGGATAGCGGCTTGTTTCAATGCTTTCTCACTCTATGCAATTTGGCATAGGATATTAGACCCAAGGCTTTCTTTCCATGATGGTCATGGCTTGCCCTGAATGAAGGGTGGGCCGTTGGTTTGCCTTCCAAGTTGCGCCCGTATTCGTGTTGCCAAAGTATCTTTTTGGATCTTGTTCGCCCTTTAGGGTTCGTGGAGTTTCGTTTAGTCCCCAGAGTTGTTAGCTGTTCAGGTGGGTATAATTCAGATATCTCCTTGCTTGTGCCCAGCCAGCGTCTCTGTCGATTGCTTACTTTATCACACTCTCAGGTTAAGTTGCGATTTATTTGTTGTGTTCCCACCGTTTCATCCTTTGGCCGTATCCACAAACCCCATAACAATCCATACCCCGTCGTCGAGTTTCCTCATGTAAGACCAATGTAAGCTGCGCAAAGCAAAAGCTTCAGTATTTAGTAAATCGGAATGCACAATAGAGGGGCTCGGAAGGATTGAGAGCACGGAGTATCAATCACATAAGACATACATGTACTTACTATCATAACTGACGAATCAAATCTACTTATCAAGGTGGACTTTGGCAGCCACGGGTTCCAGCCCGTTCGGTACGGAAGCCAGAAAATATAAGCAGTGACAGAGTTTCCCGTGGTGGCCAGCCATGCTCACGGCCTTCCAATCACTCACTGATCCAGCGGAGCAATCCAAACTAGACCTTCACCTATATGAAACTGTAAAATAATATGAAGCGTAGATATACGTCTGTAGGTTTCACAAATACTCCTCTCTCTCGGTCGGTTTGGAGCAGAAGGCTGTATCAGGAATCATATAGCTGCACATTTCTTGCGCCCTTTACCGGAAGTGGATCCGCTCACCCCCGCTTTGTGCCATACATACACTAGGAGTGATATAGAGTGATGCTGATGTGGGAACTGATAATAAGTACAAAAATTGTGGGAGAAAGGAGAGTTATTATCCATCAAAATAAAGGAAACCACATTCCAAAAGCGGGTGCTTGCGCGAAACAGAAGAAAACCCGAACCGTAAACTGAAGTCCATTCCAAGCCGAGGAAATTTGGTAAGGGGCAGCATACAACGTCTACTGCATCTTGGAAGTTCCAATAACTTGAAGGCCTAGATCTATAAGTAGATAATTGTATTCCTATGTGTATACTATGATAATGGAGTCAAATGTGCCTCCTCCCCTTACTTTCACCAGAATCACATGAGCTGGAAATGATATAATTAAGGTCTTATAATTTATTCTGTTCTATGAATTACTTAATAAAAAAAATTGCAGTTTTTCTTTTTTCCCTCCCACTACTGCCCTTTACTAACTTTATGTAATTATAATTATCAGACTAATGAGTATAAATAAAGAGAACAATCAATCAATCTACTTACCTCAGGGACAACCTTCACTATCCTTTACAATAAGGACCTTAAACTTGTCTAACTTCTCTTCCACTCCATTGTATTTTTTTCTTTCTTTGATTTTCATATAATATAAGAACAGAATAGGAAGTAATGTATTGTCACACTCTGAGACTCCTATTTTCCTGCCACATAGTTTGACAACATCAGGTTGGCTATTGTGAGTCTCCCCCTCTTCAC